AGATGTTCAGGAGAGAGGCTGACAGAAAAGTTTAGGGACATTTGATAGGACAGAGAATAATGGTTGATGAAAGGACTTACAAGTAACCATCGGCCGAAAATAAACATCGAAGAATGGAAAAATGGGATAGAATATAATATCATACAAGCCTAATGATTATGGGAGATGAGGGAAGAGTTCGGACACCAGGGGAACGGAGGGAGATTCCAGGGGGGTTAGAGGGAGAGTTTAGACACTAGGAGAACGGAGGGAGATTCCGGGAGGTTAGAGGGAGAGTTTAGACACTAGGGGAACGGAGGGAGATTCCAGGGGGTTAGAGGGAGAGTTTGGACACCAGGGGAGTGGAGGGAGATTCCAGGGGGGTTAAAGGGAGAGTTTGGACACCAGGCGAACTGAGGGAGATTCCAGGGGTTAAGAGGGAGAGTTTGGGCACCAGGGGAGTGGAGGGAGATTCCAGGGGGTTAGAGGGAGAGTTTGGACACTAAGGGAACGGAGGGAGATTCCGGGGGGTTGGAGGGACAGTTTGGACACCAGGGGAACGGAGGGAGATTCCGGGGAGTTAGAGGGACAGTTTAGACACCAGGGGAACGGAGGGAGATTCCGGGGGGTTAGAGGGACAGTTTGGACAAACTTAGGATATGAAGACAAATCAGAGCTCTTTGAAGATGTGGGGAAGAGTCTTATCACTGCGTGTAGGAATTGAAGATCTCGTACACTGAGGGGATGTAGGAAAGTGTCTTATCACTGCGTGTAGGGATTGAAGATCACGTACACTGAGGGGATGTAGGGAAGTGTCTTATCACTGCGTGTAGGGATTGAAGATCACGTACAATGAGGGGATGTAGGGAAGTTTCTTATCACTGCGTGTAGGGATTGAAGATCACGTACATTGAGGGGATGTAGGGAAGTTTCTTATCACTGCGTGTAGGGATTGAAGATCTCGTACACTGAGGGGATGTAAGGAAGTTTCTTATCACTGCGTGTAGGGATTGAAGATCACGTACACTGAGGGGATGTAGGGAAGTGTCTTATCACTGCGTGTAGGGGTTGAAGATCTCGTACACTGAGGGGATGTAGGGAAGTGTCTTATCACCGCGTGTAGGGATTGAAGATCTCGTACACTGAGGGGATGTAAATAAGTGTCTTATCACTGGGTGTAGGGATTGAAGATCTCGTACACTGAGGGGATGTAGGGAAGTGTCTTATCACTGCGTGTAGGGATTGAAGATCACGTACACTGAGGGGATGTAAGGAAGTTTCTTATCACTGCGTGTAGGGATTGAAGATCACGTACACTGAGGGGATGTAGGGAAGTGTCTTATCACTGCGTGTAGGGATTGAAGATCACGTACACTGAGGGGATGTAGGGAAGTGTCTTATCACTGCGTGTAGGGATTGAAGATCTCGTACAATGAGGGGATGTAGGGAAGAGTTTGGACACATTGGGGAAAAAGGGAAAATTTCAGGTTTTTGGGGAGGTAGGAAAGAGTTCAAGCATTAGGCAGTAGGATGGGTGATGAAAGGAGAGAGTCGGTTATTGTAGGGATGAGAGGAGAGGAGAGGAGAGAGGAGGGGTACTTTGATGATAGGAGAGAGTGTCGAGATTCTGTGAGAATAGTATAAAATTAGGGATATCGTGAAAATTGACGGGATGAGTCGGGTACTGTGATGGTAGAAGTATGAAGGGTAGGAGGAGAGAGTAGGAGGATGGTGGGAGAAAGGTTGAGGATGTGAGGAGAAAGAAGGGGATCCGTGATGGTGGAAGAAGGGTGTAGGGGGATGGAGAGAGATGTTCTGTGATGGCGGGAAAAAGGAAAAGGACCGGAGGGGAGAGTAGGGGGTATTGTGATGGTGGGAGAAGGGGATAAGGTGGATAGAAAGAAGATGTTCTGTGATGGCGGGAGAAAGGAGTAGGCCGGGAGGGGAGAGTAGGGGGTATTGTGATTGTGGAAGAAGGGTGTAGGAGATGAGAGAGAAGGGGATCCGTGATGGTGGAAGAAAGGAGTAGGGCGGGAGGAGAGAGTAGGGGTTCTTTGATGTGGAAGAGGAGTGTAGGAGGATGAAGAGAGAAGATGTTCTGTGATGGCGGGAGAAAGGAGAAGAGCGGGAGGAGAGAGTAGGGGTACTTTGATGGCGGGAGAATTGTGTAGGGGGATAGAGAGAGAAGATGTGATGGCTGGAGAAAGGAGAATGGCGGAAGGGGAGAGAAGGGGTACTTTGATGGAAAGCTGTCCATGTTGGTTTTGTAATAGGAAAAGATCAGAATAAGCTGCTGATGCAGAAGATTATGTCGTCATCAGTATATCTGAAAGTGAAATTGAAGGATTTTGCTAGGTCTTTGTGACCTTATTGCTGTTGGAAGATCTCTAATATCAATATCGACGAAGGTGTTTTCAACCAAAAACTCGATCATTTTCAGTAAAGTTGGCATCTCTATATTCATACCGTAATTAACCTTTTTTGGAGAAGCTCTCATAACAAGAGATCGAAGGCGTTCTTTCAGTTTAGAATGGGGTATGGTGATGTATAGAGTAGAAAAATCAAATGTTCCTATGGAAGAAATGTTTTTTTAGATTATGATGTTGAAGATTGATTAAAAGATCTTAAGAATTGTTTAATACCCATACACCATTAATTCCATTTATCGAGTAAACAGTTTTATAACACTTACCCTGATTCGATAATACTTAGAATAATTCATAAAAAGATTGGACAAAACGTTTGATTGAACATCTAGACGAGCCAGCAGTTAAACGGTATTTACATAAATCCAATACATACGGAAAAGGTCCGTATTCTTAGTATTGATAGGTAATGTAAATGATTGGTATACTAAAGTATGATGAACCAGTATTTGTTCTTTGAATAGTTGCATACTATATAAGTGGTATTTCCTTCGTTATCAAGCAAACCTGGTTCATGTTGTATACAGGAAATGTTATTGGATGCCTTATATACAGGCGCAATGATATGCATGTTTTATAAATTTTGAAGAGTGGATTTAACATCAAGATCAAAGGACGCTTATCTGTATTTTGCTTTTAGATTTGAAACTGCTATCTTTAAAAGAATTATGAGCCTAATGGACTCCGAAAGTCAATCCGACGCATCATGCACTCGTTTTACACATTCTAGCGTTGTTTTCAGCAAATTTCATAAGTATCTTGAAATCATATTTCAATCAAAAGACAGGGTTTCACGATATTAAGGACTCTTTATGAAAGGCTATCTAAGATATGTCCATGTTTTACTGATAGCTGATGAATTATTCAGGTTTTAAAGCTGTATATGTTAAGATATCCATGTTATATAAGTATATGTTGAGATATCCATGTTATATAAGTATATGTTGAGATATCCATGTTTTATAAGTATATGTTGAGATATCCATGTTACATAAGTATATGTTGAGATATCCATGTTTTATAAGTATATGTTGAGATATCCATGTTATATAAGTATATGTTGAGATATCCATGTTTTATAAGTATATGTTGAGATATCCATGTTTTATAAGTATATGTTGAGATATCCATGTTATATTAAGAGATGTATCTAGCTAGAGGAGAATACCTCTTCCTGAGTTAGAGGAAAGATAACTCTTCCACACGATAAAATCCGTGAATCTCCTGTCTAATAGGTTCAAACTGAATTTACTACAACACACTTATTCTATCAACTTTCTGGATAAGAACTTCTTTTGGTTTGATTTTGTATCTTTATTGATTTTTACTAAGTACATGTATTTTGATACACACAAACTTACAACGTTCGGCTTCACAGTGTTTTTACAGATGTGTTAACCCCCAGCACTCAGCTTCACAGTGTTTTACAGATGTGTTAACCCCCAGCACTCAGCTTCACAGTGTTTTTACAGATGTGTTAACCCCCAGCACTCAGCTTCACAGTGTTTTACAGATGTGTTAACCCCCAGCACTCAGCTTCACAGTGTTTTTACAGATGTGTTAACCCCCAGCACTCAGCTTCACAGTGTTTTACAGATGTGTTAACCCCCAGCACTCAGCTTCACAGTGTTTTACAGATGTGTTAACCCCCAGCACTCAGCTTCACAGTGTTTTACAGATGTGTTAACCCCCAGCACTCAGCTTCACAGTGTTTTTACAGATGTGTTAACCTCAGCACTCAGCTTCACAGTGGTTTTACAGATGTGTTAACCCCTAGCACTCAGCTTCACAGTGTTTAACAGATGTATGACCCCACAGCACTCAGCTTCACAGTGTTTTATACGTATTAAATACACAGCGTTCTGCTTTGAACCTACATCATTCAGTTACATAGTATTTTTATGCGTATAAAGTTTTATTGTTTTTATACATTTAATCTTACAGCGCTTAGCTTCAAGTATAATTATATATATATATATATAAACCTACTGCGTTCAGCTTCATGTACAAGTATTTATATTTTCAATCCAGCTTCAAATTATAAGTATTGATATATAAACCTACAGTAGCTTCAAAATATAATTTAGATTCTAGTTCTGCGTTCGATTAATATTTTTTCTGATAAGTTGCTCATAAAGGAACAACAAATGTGATTAAAACGAATACAAGAGAAAACGATTGATGAAAATATTCTGTACTATGGAATGAAAATTATGCAATAATATTAGAATTCACCTTTATAATATATCGTTATGTGGATCGGAGAGTAGATATAGAGAAAATTAAACAGTTTTTACCAGCAATTTTTATTTATAATACACGGGATGTTAAAACCGCGTATTTCCGATAAGAAGTTCTTTGTAGTTACTTACATATAAAATTTGGATATTAAGAAATATATTTGGAAATAAAAATTGGATGTATATATTCGTAAACCAGTGGAATCCTCTTTGTAATGAATTATTGGGCTATATTTTATATCTAGATTCTTGGTTCTTAGGAATGAAAGCTACACACTCCTAAACCTCTCCTAACTTGTTGATACGAAATCAGTAACAGATACTTTGACGGAAAGTCTGATCAAATGCGCATGCGTCACTTCTTGCCCCGCCGGAAGAGAATTTTCTCAATAGTCATCATTGGGGTCTCGAAGGCCAGAGTGGCGACGATTGCCGTCAGTGTGGATAGAACCAGTGATGCAAGGAATGAGTAAGTCTGAAAAAAATGTAGATCAACTTACAAGCTGTGTTGTCTTTGACATAATCAATAAATGTACATTCGATCCTGTCACATGATACCATGATAGATTCTGGTGTCGTAGATAAACATCCGATCCTGTCACGTGATATTATAATAGATTCTGGTGTCGTAGATAAACATCCGATCCTGTCACGTGATATTATAATAAAATCTGGTGTCGTGGATAAACATTAAATCCTATCACATGATATTATAATAAATTCTGGTGTCATAGACCATAATAGAATCTGGTGTCGTAGATAAACATTCAATCCTGTCACATAATATTATAATAGATTCTGGTGTCGTAGATAAACATTCAATCCTATCACATGATATTATAATAAATTCTGGTGTCGTAGACCATAATAGAATCTGGTGTCGTAGATAAACATTCGATCCTGTCACATGATATTATAATATATTCTGGTGTCGTAGATAAACATTCGATCCTGTCACGTGATATTATAATAGAATCTGGTGTCGTAGATAAACATTCCATCCTGTCACGTAATATTATAATAGATTCTGGTGTCGTAGATAAACGTTCGATCCTGTCACATGATACTGTCCTATTTGGACGCCCATAGAGATTTTGAATGGTTTTAATAAATACAGCATACAAAACATCTTTGTATTAAGTTCATGTGATTTAATTTGTATTTTGTCAATATCAATGTTGTATACCTTTGAACACTCAGTGTATAACATCCTAACAGCTAATCATTCAAGTTTCTGTACGTACTATTAGGGATGTAGATTATATGGATTGTGCTAATTATATATCATGTACTTACAAATCCTAGTGTCGTGGCATAAAATGGTTGTCGCAATGTTTGTAGGTAGTAGTAAATGACGATGGGGTGAGTCAAGTAGATGCAATAGCTGAGTCTACTGAGGGGGACGAACAGCTTCCAGGACAGAAAATCGTTTACAATTCCTAGAAAAATAAATCTTCAACAATACTTTCGTTTTGTAATGCTGTAATGAAAATTACAAAAAAGTCACCTTATGCCCTGACACTTTTTCTAGTGACCTTCTAATATATGCAATATCAAAATTTGCCTCATGAATAAGTATCCAAACAACGAATAACCGTATACTGTAAATCGCGTATATTTCGCGTGAAATTTATTTTTGCGTTGCTACGCGAGGAGAGACAGTCGTGAATTCAAATCCTTCGCAATTAGTTGTGCGAAACTAAATATGTATGGTATTCATGTCGATTCGGTAAATTGAGGGAAATACATTTTGTAAATCCATTTTAAGGACCCCAATGAAAATAAGCGTTTTCAGGGTTTTTTTTTTTTTTTTGGAAATCCTAGGATATACGTACTTTTGTCTTTATCTATAAATATCATTAGCTGATACATTAAAGATGTAGCTAACAACTTATTCCTGATTATGTAGAACATGTTATATGTGCTATAGTCATATGTTTTGTATACAAATCTGTACATACTTATCCTGAATAGATTTATTATTATCATTATTACCTAATGACCTCGACCCTACATTACACAATATCTTCGTAATGACCTTGACCATATTATATAGAATATTACCAATGTAGCCTATCATACCCCTAGATATAATATATAACTTTAATAGCCCGGAGAACGTACCTCCATTGCCGGTAACACAAGCGAAGACTACCCAGCAGACACAAACTCCCCAAACAGAGCGATGGACAGCGTTATACAGAGCGGCCACACCACTGCTCCACTGGTCACCGTTCACTGGACTGTATATTCCGTACACCACAATACAGGCGGCCACTGCCATGACCAACCATATGAGCAGGTTCATCACCTTCAATAACATACTCTCGGGTACATATTCAAGCAATCTGATAAATCTGTTTGATTATTATTCGAATACCAATACTCACCTTTGAAAGCTGTGCTGGTTGATTATCATAACTGTTTGGTGTTTACAAGAAAACACCTTGAAAATATATGGTTTTTAATGAATTTTCTGTATCAAGGTAAACCGCAAAAAGTAGGAATCATCGACGAAAAAAGAAAACTTTACAGTAATTTCATTGAGGATGAGTGAGTGTGATAAACAATCTGGGAGTGAGTGTGATAAACAATGTGGGAGTGAGTGTGATAAACAATGTGGGAGTGAGTGTGATAAACAATCTGGGAGTGAGTGTGATAAACAATGTGGGAGTGAGTGTGATAAACAATCTGGGAGTTAGTGTGATAAACAATCTGGGAGTGAGTGTGATAAAGACATCTGGGAGTGAGTGTGATAAACAATCTGGGAGTGAGTCTGATAAACAATGTGGGAGTGAGTGTGATAAACAATCTGGGAGTGAGTGTGATAAACAATCTGGGAGTGAGTGTGATAAACAATCTGGGAGTGAGTGTGATAAACAATCTGGGAGTGAGTGTGATAAACAATATGGGAGTGAGTGTGATAAACAATCTGGGAGTGAGTGTGATAAACAATCTGGGAGTGAGTGTGATAAACAATCTGGGAGTGAGTGTGATAAACAATCTGGGAGTGAGTGTATTAAACAATCTGGGAGTGAGTGTATAAACAATCTGGGAGTGAGTGTGATAAACAATCTGGGAGTGAGTGTGATAAACAATCTGGGAGTGAGTGTGATAAACAATCTGGGAGTGAGTGTGATAAACAATCTGGGAGTGAGTGTGATAAACAATGTGGGAGTGAGTGTGATAAACAATCTGGGAGTGAGTGTGATAAACAATCTGGGAGTGAGTGTGATAAACAATCTGGGAGTGAGTGTGATAAACAATCTGGGAGTGAGTGTGATAAACAATGTGGGAGTGAGTGTGATAAACAATCTGGGAGTGAGTGTGATAAACAATCTGGGAGTGAGTGTGATAAACAATCTGGGATGTTTGTATTAAACAATCTGGCAGTGAGTGTATAAAACAATCTGGGAGTGAGTGTGATAAACAATCTGGGAGTGAGTGTGATAAACAATGTGGGAGTGAGTGTGATAAACAATGTGGGAGTGAGTGTGATAAACAATGTGGAAGTGAGTATGATAAACAATCTGGGAATGAGTGTGATAAACAATCTGGGAGTGAGTGTGATAAACAATCTGGGAGTGAGTGTGATAAACAATCTGGGAGTGAGTGTGATAAACAATCTGGGAGTGAGTGTGATAAACAATGTGGGAGTGAGTGTGATAAACAATGTGGGAGTGAGTGTGTTAAACAATCTGGGAGTGAGTGTGATAAACAATCTGGGAGTGAGTGTGATCTGGGAGTGAGTGTGATAAACAATCTGGGAGTGAGTTTGTTAAACAATCTAGGAGTGAGTGTGATAAATAATCTGGGAGTGAGTGTGATAAACAATCTGGGAGTGAGTGTGATAAACAATGTGGGAGTGAGTTTGTTAAACAATTTGGGAGTGATTGTATTAAACAATCTGGGAGTGAGTGTGATAAACAATCTGGGAGTGAGTGTGATAAACAATCTGGGAGTGAGTGTGATAAACAATCTGGGAGTGAGTGTGATAAACAATCTGGGAGTGAGTGTATAAAACAATCTGGGAGTGAGTGTGATAAACAATCTGGGAGTGAGTGTGATAAACAATCTGGGAGTGAGTGTATAAACAATCTGGGAGTGAGTGTATAAAACAATCTGGGAGTGAGTGTGATAAACAATCTGGGAGTGAGTGTGATAAACAATCTGGGAGTGAGTGTGATAAACAATGTGGGAGTGAGTGTGATAAACAATCTGGGAGTGAGTGTGATAAACAATCTGGGAGTGAGTGTGATAAACAATCTGGGAGTGAGTGTGATAAACAATCTGGGAGTGAGTGTGATAAACAATCTGGGAGTGAGTGTTATAAACAATCTGGGAGTGAGTGTGATAAACAATCTGGGAGTGAGTGTGATAAACAATCTGGGAGTGAGTGTGATAAACAATCTGGGAGTGAGTGTGATAAACAATCTGGGAGTGAGTGTATTAAACAATCTGGGAGTGAGTGTGATAAACAATCTGGGAGTGAGTGTGATAAACAATCTGGGAGTGAGTGTGATAAACAATCTGGGAGTGAGTGTGATAAACAATGTGGGAGTGAGTGTGATAAACAATGTGGGAGTGAGTGTGATAAACAATCTGGGAGTGAGTGTGATAAACAATCTGGGAGTGAGTGTGATAAACAATCTGGGAGTGAGTGTGATAAACAATCTGGGAGTGAGTGTGATAAACAATCTGGGAGTGAGTGTATTAAACAATCTGGATCTGGGAGTGAGTGTATAAAACAATATGTGAGTGAGTGTATTAAACAATATGGGAGTGAGTATGTTAAACAATCTGGGATGTTTGTATTAAACAAAATGGGAGTGAGTGTGATAAACAATCTGGGAGTGAGTGTATTAAACAATCTAGGAGTGAGTGTGATAAACAATCTAGGAGTGAGTGTGATAAACAATCTGGGAGTGAGTTTGTTAAACAATTTGGGAGTGATTGTATTAAACAATCTGGGAGTGAGTGTGATAAACAATCTAGGAGTGAGTGTGATAAACAATCTGGGAGTGAGTTTGTTAAACAATTTGGGAGTGATTGTATTAAACAATCTAGGAGTGAGTTTGTTAAACAACCTGTTAGTGAGTGTATAAAACAATCTGGGATTGAGTGTATTAAACGATGATGCGCTAAATTTTGTAGCAAACCCACCTTTGGTATTTTGAATTTGCCGTCGGTCTTGTAGATGATGTACCCGGTCACTATGCCGACGATGTATGGTCCCATGCGGCACCATGGAACAATGTAGTATTCAAAAAAGTAATCATTATAACTTGCCCTGAAAAAAAGTAATATTTTGTTATTGAACGGCAAACTATAGACTACTTTGTTTTACTGTACAATGCATTCTTAAACTTTATCTAAATTCTTGAAATTAAGTCATATTTAGATTGAACTACTGTTGGATCATCGCACGTGTAGTTTCTATGGTAGGGTCATCGCACGGGTAGTTTCTATGGTAGGGTCATCGCACGGGTAGTTTCTATGGTAGGGTCATCGCACGGGTAGTTTCTATGGTAGGGTCATCGCACGAGTAGTTTCTATGGTAGGGTCATCGCACGAGTAGTCTCAATGGTAGGGTCATCGCACGGGTAGTTTCTATGGTAGGGTCATCGCACGGGTAGTTTCTATGGTAGGGTCATCGCACGAGTAGTCTCAATGTAGTTTCTATGGTAGGGTCATCGCACGAGTAGTTTCTATGGTAGGGTCATCGCACGGGTAGTTTCTATGGTAGGGTCATCGCACGAGTAGTCTCAATGGTAGGGTCATCGCACGAGTAGTTTCTATGGTAGGGTCATCGCACGGGTAGTTTCTATGGTAGGGTCATCGCACGGGTAGTTTCTATGGTAGGGTCATCGCACGAGTAGTTTCTATGGTAGGGTCATCGCACGAGTAGTCTCAATGGTAGGGTCATCGCACGGGTAGTTTCTATGGTAGGGTCATCGCACGAGTAGTCTCAATGGTAGGGTCATCGCACGGGTAGTTTCTATAGTAGGGTCATCGCACGGGTAGTTTCTATGGTAGGGTCATCGCACGAGTAGTTTCTATGGTAGGGTCATCGCACGAGTAGTTTCTATGGTAGGGTCATCGCACGAGTAGTTTCTATGGTAGGGTCATCGCACGAGTAGTCTCAATGGTAGGGTCATCGCACGGGTAGTTTCTATGGTAGGGTCATCGCACGGGTAGTTTCTATGGTAGGGTCATCGCACGGGTAGTTTCTATGGTAGGGTCATCGCACGAGTAGTTTCTATGGTAGGGTCATCGCACGGGTAGTTTCTATGGTAGGGTCATCGCACGAGTAGTTTCTATGGTAGGGTCATCGCACGAGTAGTTTCGATGGTAGGGTCATCGCACGAGTAGTTTCTATGGTAGGGTCATCGCACGGGTAGTTTCTATGGTAGGGTCATCGCACGAGTAGTCTCAATGGTAGGGTCATCGCACGGGTAGTTTCTATTTCTATGGTAGGGTCATCGCACGGGTAGTTTCTATGGTAGGGTCATCGCACGAGTAGTTTCTATGGTAGGGTCATCGCACGAGTAGTCTCAATGGTAGGGTCATCGCACGGGTAGTTTCTATGGTAGGGTCATCGCACGAGTAGTCTCAATGGTAGGGTCATCGCACGGGTAGTTTCTATGGTAGGGTCATCGCACGGGTAGTTTCTATGGTAGGGTCATCGCACGAGTAGTTTCTATGGTAGGGTCATCGCACGGGTAGTTTCTATGGTAGGGTCATCGCACGGGTAGTTTCTATGGTAGGGTCATCGCACGAGTAGTCTCAATGGTAGGGTCATCGCACGGGTAGTTTCTATGGTAGGGTCATCGCACGGGTAGTTTCTATGGTAGGGTCATCGCACGAGTAGTCTCAATGGTAGGGTCATCGCACGGGTAGTTTCTATGGTAGGGTCATCGCACGAGTAGTCTCAATGGTAGGGTCATCGCACGGGTAGTTTCTATGGTAGGGTCATCGCACGAGTAGTTTCTATGGTAGGGTCATCGCACGGGTAGTTTCTATGGTAGGGTCATCGCACGGGTAGTTTCTATGGTAGTGTAATCGCACGGGTAGTTTCTATGGTAGGGTCATCGCACGGGTAGTTTCTATGGTAGGGTCATCCCACGAGTAGTTTCTATGGTAGGGTCATCGCACGGGTAGTTTCTATGGTAGTGTAATCGCACGGGTAGTTTCTATGGTAGGGTCATCGCACGGGTAGTTTCTATGGTAGGGTCATTCCACCGGTAGTTTCTATGGTAGTGTAATCGCACGGGTAGTTTCTATGGTAGGGTCATCGCACGGGTAGTTTCTATGGTAGGGTCATCGCACGGGTAGTTTCTATGGTAGGGTCATTCCACCGGTAGTTTCTATGGTAGGGTCATTCCACCGGTAGTTTCTATGGTAGGGTCATCGCACGGGTAGTTTCTATGGTAGGGTCATTCCACCAGTAGTTTCTATGGTAGGGTCATCGCACGGGTAGTTTCTATGGTAGGGTCATCGCACGAGTAGTTTCTATGGTAGGGTCATCGCACGGGTAGTTTCTATGGTAGGGTCATCGCACGGGTAGTTTCTATGGTAGGGTCATCGCACGGGTAGTTTCTATGGTAGGGTCATCGCACGGGTAGTTTCTATGGTAGTATCATCGCACGAGTAGTTTCTATGGTAGGGTCATCGCACGAGTAGTTTCTATGGTAGGGTCATCGCACGGGTAGTTTCTATGGTAGGGTCATCGCACGGGTAGTTTCTATGGTAGGGTCATCGCACGGGTAGTTTCTATGGTAGGGTCATCGCACGGGTAGTTTCTATGGTAGTATCATCGCACGAGTAGTTTCTATGGTAGGGTCATCGCACGGGTAGTTTCTATGGTAGGGTCATCGCACGGGTAGTTTCTATGGTAGGGTCATCGCACGGGTAGTTTCTATGGTAGGGTCATCGCACGGGTAGTTTCTATGGTAGTATCATCGCACGAGTAGTTTCTATGGTAGGGTCATCGCACGGGTAGTTTCTATGGTAGTGTGATGGCATGGGTAGTTTCAATGGTTAGTTCCTGACAGAAATGATTTTGGGTCATTAACGTTGGGATGCTGACAACAAAATTTCCAAATTGAATCGATGTCATGTAGCAGAGTATGCACAGTATACCGTACAAATGGCGTCAGCTCTGGTGAGACAAGTCATGTTTACTCTGCTTGTTATATGTATAGATGCAGCACAGGAGGGTGAATATGTATGGAAAACATGTCTCTGCTACATTCTATTATAGTTGACTTTCGGGCTGATTCTTGTCCTAATCATTGAGTGACATTATTACCACTATAACTGTAAGTATTTACAATTTATCACTGTATTTATTCATTATCTGAAAACGTGTATATCTGTTTATAACATCAAGAAAATGGATTTCAAAGGCTATGCATGTTGTCCGATTCCTTTGTTTTTAAAATCATGACAATAAAATATTCTGAAATGTAAAAAAAAAAAAAAAACCCTACTGAACAAAACGTGTTAGCCAGTCAAGTCATGTTTACGCTACTTCAGGATTACCAAATGTGTTTACAAATGTGAGCAACGCGTATTTACTCCGCGGAATACTGCACGGAACAGGATGGGGTACATCGGATAGCCATACATAGTATACAATTATAGTGAAGACAATATCTAAATAAAACGATATGAACATCATGGCAGCAGCATCAGTTGACATTATTGTAGGTAACAGGCCATAATGGTTGGAAACTACTCCAGTAGCTATACTGATCCCCAACAAAGCCAGAATGTTGATAAAAACGCCAATCTTCTTAGAGCTGTAATATATCAAAGGATTGTACACAATGTATACAAGCAATGCATAGAATTCAATATAAATTTAGAAATCGATACATCAGATACGTTACAATGTTTATAAGTGTATAATACGACAGGTGAAAAGTAGTGTAAAATTTCAATCAACATTTTCCTAAGTAATCATGCAAACAGTATGATTCTTGGAATGCCATTAAAAGTGTGTTTATACCTGGTACACCTTAAAGTGTAAGAAGTAACGAAATGACTACAGACGCAGTCTAAGATTGCCAACTATCAGAAATTAACATAATTATATTTTACAATATTCGTCACTTATAGTTTACAATATGCGTCAAATCCTATCTGGTATTTGATTGATCATCACGACGAGACAATATTTTGAGTGGGTGCAACTTACGTCAGTAATGTACTTACAAATAGAGCGGCACCAAAAGGACTGGGCTTACTACATAAAACTGCATGTCATTGGCCAGATACCACGACCAGCCAAAACACTGAAAACAAACGTTTTATTTTTACCATTACGCATTACATCTTGTTTCTGTGTTAGTTTTTATAACTACTCTATCTTCCCTTTTCACATCTATACAACCATACAATGCAAACTTAATTAATCCAGTAAATTTGTGAAAAATGATAATTATTTTGGACATTTTCCGTACCATCTCTTTTGCGTTTACGACGTTGTTGATATACAGAATATTTGTCCACCAGTTCTTTCTACACGAGACCCCATCTTGACCTCCGATGTTAAAGAACGGTCCATCGCCAAGGTAACGATACAGCGACATGTAGAGAAACAGCACCAACATGTAAGGAGGTGTCAGTCTGGTCCCAGGAAACAAAACACAACAATGTCAAAATGTTCAAGATTCAATATTTCTTTCTGTTCATGTTATCGATGAACGATTACAATTGTACTTGGGTAAATTCAATACCAATGCTACTTAAAATCTACCGATTGTAGCCATCCCTGATAACCTAAACAAAAGAGAAAATTAATTCTGATAGTTACATTGTTTCTTTATTTAAGGACAGTTATTGCCTTTGTTTTATTCCAAAGATTACAGACACAAAAATAGTTCAAGAACTACCATCATAGAACTGCCGATACCACTACAAAAGAACTAACAAAGATTTTTTGCAATATTTCCTATATGGTCAAGTTTCATTTACTTAATACAGCGTTCCAATGATTGTTCTTTTGAGATTCCGTCAAAGAAAACCCCCAAATGTTGAACAAAGTTGGCATTAGGATCATATCTCTAAAGGGCCCAGTGTGTGCTGCGATAGCGTCAGCAGGAGACATAACATCCTATCGCGCGACAGAGAGCTGATCATTAACGATGTACAATGATAACGAGAATTACAAAGTTATATAGGCAATTACAACGGTAACTGTGAATAAAATGAAATAGCATGAAATTGAATGCGATTATTGTATACAAACAAATGAAAATGTCATGTTGACTCATATCATTTGCAAAAATTTGAAATGTAGCATAAACAGATACACTAACCTCCAGATGCGATGAAAATAGAACATAAACCAGTTGATTCGTGCCTTCTCCCTTTTCATCTCCCTCATAAACAGGTAGGACACCAGCAGCCCGCTGTAACATTAGATTAGGGAGAAATACATACTCGAGATTAGCTAGGAATACATACTCGAGATTAGGAAGGAATACATACTCGAGATTGGGAAGGAATACATACTCGAGATTGGGGAGGAATACATACTCGAGATTAGCTAGGAATACATACTCGAGATTAGGAAGGAATACATACTCGAGATTAGGAAGGAATACATACTCGAGATTAGGGAGGAATACATACTGGAGATTGGGGAGGAATACATACTCGAGATTAGGAAGGAATACATACTCGAAATTGGGGAGGAATACATACTCGAGATAAGGAAGGAATACATACTCGAGATTAGGAAGGAATACATAGTCGAGATTGGGGAGGAATATATACTCGAGATTGGGGAGGAATGCATACTCGAGATTGGGGAGGAATATGTACTCGAGATTAGGAAGGAATACATACTCGAGATTAGGAAGGAATACATAGTCGAGATTGGGGAGGAATGCATACTCGAGATTGGGGAGGAATGCATACTCGAGATTGGGGAGGAATGCATACTCGAGATTAGGAAGGAATACATACTCGAGATTGGGGAGGAATGCATACTCGAGATTGGGGAGGAATGCATACTCGAGATTAGGAAGGAATACATACTCGAGATTGGGGAGGAATGCATACTCGAGATTGGGGAGGAATGCATACCTTGCTGTGGGAAGGAATACGTACCTTAGTGTGAAAAAAGAATCCACAGATAGTAGACCATTGGCTAGAACCATCGATGTCCAGTTACCCAGGAAATCCTTAGTAAAAATCTGGTTTTCTGCATAAAAATATAAAGAAATGGTTGATTCTATTTTTGAAGAACATATAAGGTTTTTATCAGAGTTATCACTTGGAATCGGAGATAAAAATGTTAATTGCCACGATAAAGCTCCACATATTAAAAAACACATATAATTGACACATTACTTACGTATCTCACCCATGCCGAAAGCAAATGCGTGTCCTAGAACCACCCAGGAAATGCTGAGGAATCGAATTCCGTTGATGGCACCAAGAGCGCCACCTGCCTGTTCTGTGCTCATCAACTTCCGGGCATTAGTGTACACAGAAAACGTCATGGCAAGTCTCGGCAGCACGCCTTCAAACATTTACTTATAACTTTAAACAATTTTTATGTATCTAGCCATTATCCTTGAGGATTAGGTAGAATTTGTCCATTTCCCCATTAAAGAGCTATAATACAAAAAGCCGGAACTAACAGACAGTCGTAAAAACCCTTATTGATTAAATCAAAGATATAATTCAATATATTTTGATCCGAACTAAGATTTAATAAACAACTTTTACTGGTCCTTTTCTGATATTTTGAGAATTAGATAGCAGTTGTTCAATTGAATTAAGAGGGACGGATTGTTCGGTGTTATATTTTTGTCCTAAGTTTGGGACCATCAGTTTCGATGTGAATATCACATTATTTAAAACTGGTTATTTTGTTATAATGAGCCTTGTCGTGCTTCCTGCAGTGTCTCCTTTTGTGTTTACCATATATGGTATGTCACCAAGCGATAAACCCAACTTAAAGATATCCCGAATTAAAATGGGGTACCCGGAAGTTTAACAAAACAAAGTTTACTCTGCCACCTTAAGTAGCGTTTACACGTGTATTACTGATAAATCACACACGTCCACATACTGTATCTAAAATTCGCACGTCGAGAATTTATTAATGCTGAAAATTGGCAAACTTCTGAGCGTGTTGACGAGCGTCCCAGGTCTTACTCATTCGAAAGACTACTGATAGAAAAGACATGTCTCTGTGTAGACAGACAAGCCGAGTTCCATTCACCACTGCCAACAGGCTCAGAAGACGACGGAATGTCATGGTTCGCGTTAATCGGCGACCAATAACGCATCCCCTGTTGACTGGAAGGCACAAACAAGCCAGACTGCAAAAGGCACGTGATCACCGGACATATAATGGCAGGTCTTGTTGAAGAGTTCACTGGTGTGATGAAAACAGCTTTTCACTAAGTCTGACATCAGCAGGATCCGTGTTTGGAGACCAAGATACACAACATACCATCAGAATCACATTCTAGCAGAACAACATACCATCAGAATCACATTCTAGCAGATACACAACATACCATCAGAATCACATTCTAGCAGATACACAACATACCATCAGAATCACATTCTAGCAGAACAACATACCATCAGAATCACATTCTAGCAGATACACAACATACCATCAGAATCACATTCTAGCAGAACAACATTTGGTGGTGGCGATGTTGCTGTTTGAGGAGGTCTTTTTCTCTAAACACCAAGCTTGGCTTGTATGTTCTTGCTGGAATTTTAAATGGACAGAAGCACTGTGGTCAGATCCTTTGACATTTAGCTGTTCCGCATATCGATGCACATCCAATTGCAAACCAGGCAGGTCCGCTTTGTACAAGACTCAACAAAAGGTGATAGCGACGCTCACATTGTCTGTAATGCGACCAACATGAACCCGATGGAGCATGTGTGGGATTATCGTGGTGGACTTAAGTCACTGCATGAGACCCAAAATGCCAAACAATGGAGAATTAAGGGCCGCGTTGCTTCAGGAATGGCAGATGTTTCCTCATAACAATTGATCAGTGGTATGAGACGACAAGAGAAATGTACCAGAAGCATGGTGGCTATACCAGATATTCTCACTATACAATTAGTTGATTACTTAATCTTTTTGATCAAGTAAGGTGTTTTGATTATTTGAGGACGTATTTGGTAATAAGAGACACCCTCACCAAAATCAAACTTTTTTTTTGATTTTGGTAAGGATTTTTTTGAGCACATCTTTTAAAATCAATACAGCACTTCCGGTTCTGTACATTTCTAATCAACTGTGAATAGTTTCGTAAAATATATTTAAAATCTGTCCTCTATGTTCTGCTGAATTGAACTGAATATTTTTCTTAAATATAGCACACAAAATAAAGACAAATCTGAGATATGGTTGTCCCTAATTTATGGCCAAGATGTATTTACATTCACTGCACAAATCATACATCATTACAAGACCATCTTCAACAAAAACATCATATATGATTTTACAAATGATTTAATCCAGCTTGAAAAAAATTTCCACTGCAAATATGTTGTCATCTCATTAAAAAATGGACGTGGTTTTATTAATATTAACTTAGAAGGTTTGTTTTAGATTATAGAAGTTTTGCACAAAAATATTATCCCCATTTTTTTTTAAATATTCACACCTGCGTTGTATAGTGTATAGGTGAAACTGACCTAAATGTTTGTATTCATCGATATTACTCAATTTGATTTTTGCACACGCATGCGCGATCTTGTCTCTACTCCTATTGCCTGTAAATGCATTTTTGTTTACATTTTTAATGTCGTAATACCTGTAAGACATCTAGTTGTAACGTTTCGTAGCGTGTTACCTGGTTATGTGTGTTATGTTGTACTACCAGGTTGTGAGTATATTTGTTGTAATACCTGGTTACCAGTGTTGTGTTGTAATACCTGGTTATTTGTTTTTATTATATTACCTGGTTGTTGATTGTATTTTGTTGTATTACTTGGTTGTCTGGGTTACCTTGTTGCTGGTGTTGTGTTGTATTACATAGTTGTCTGGGTTACCTGGTTGCTGGTGTTGTATTACATGGTTGTCTGGGTTACCTGGTTGCTGGTGTTGTGTTGTATTACCTGGTTGTCTGGGTTACCTTGTTGCTGGTGTTGTGTTGTATTACCTGGTTGTCTGGGTTACCTTGTTACTGGTGTTGGTTGTATTACTTGACTATTTGTGTTTTGGTGTAACACCTAGTGATCTGTTTTTTTTTTATTATATTACCTGGTTGTTGATTGTATTTTGTTGTATTACCTGGTTGTTGGTGTTTTATTGTATTACCTGGTTGTCTAGGTTTTGTTGTATTACCTGGTTGTTGGTGTTTTGTTGTATTACCTGGTTGTTGGTGTTTTGTTGATTACCTGGTTGTTGGTGTTTAATTGTATTACCTGGTTGTCTAGGTTTTGTTGTATTACCTGGTTGTCTTGGTTTTGTTGTATTACCTGGTTGTTGGTGTTTTATTGTATTACCTGGTTGTCTTAGTTTTGTTGTATTACCTGGTTGTTGGTGTTTTGTTGCATTACCTGGTTGTCTTGGTTTTGCTGTATTACCTGGTTGTTGGTGTTTTATTGTATTACCTGGTTGTCTTGGTTTTGTTGTATTACCTGGTTGTTGGTGTTTTGTTGCATTACCTGGTTGTCTTGGTTTTGTTGTATTACCTGGTTGTTGGTGTTTTGTTGTATTACCTGGTTGTTGGTGTTTTATCATATTACCTGGTTCTTGGTGTTTATTATATTACTTGTAATACAGGTCTTGATATTATAATTACAGGTGATATTAATGTAAATATGCTAAATATACCTGAGAATCACCACTTAAGTAGACTCTTAATAAAGTATAATTTTGTAAGTTTAATTAATGACCCAACACGGATTACTGAGACAACTGCTACTGCTATTGATATATTGTTCACTAACAACATAAGTTTAATTAGAAATACTTCGGTGAATACTCCAATATGCAGTGACCATTGTATTGTTAACTTCTCTTGTTGTAATTCTGTATTGAAAAAGAAATCATATATGAAGAAAATACTAGTTTATGATAGAGCAGATTTTGATAAAATGAATAGAGAGATTGATATTGTTGATTGGGAATTACTGATAGAAAATCATAATTGTGAGGAATTTAATAGTATTTTAACAGAAACCATTATCAAACAAACAAAATTATGTGTACCATGTAAACTTATAACTGTCCGACCTGATGATAAACCCTGGATGAGAAATAATATCAAACTCAAAATTAGACAGAGAAATAGAATACATGCAAAAGCTAAATCTAGTAATTTTGCTACAAACTGGGCTAACTTTAGACAAATTAGAAATGAGGTAGTGGATCTTGTTAGGGAAGCTAAAATACATATTTTATCAAATTAGATATATCTCTCCAAGACAATTCTATTCCTGCTAACAAGTGATGGAAAATTGCTAAGTCAATAATGAACTCTAATAATGTTTCTACCTCTTTACCACCTCTATATGTAAATGATCAGTACGTCCATCATCCATTTGATAAGGCTGATTGTCTAAATAATTATTTCATTTCGATTTCAACGACATCTGAAAATCTGGATCCTCTACCTCAACCTGATAGTAACTCCCTTTTAAACTAGAAAATATTACCATTTCTGAGCAGGACATTAAAGATCAACTTCTCTTACTTAATGACAGAAAACTACCTGGTCCTGACAATATGATACCTAAAATAATAAAAAGATTAACCCCCTCATCAGTATGCCCTCTTACTCTTCTATGTAATAAAACTTTTGAAACAGGTACTATACCAGCATCTTGGAAATCAGCTAATGTTAATGCTATTTATAAAGGGAAAGGCTCTGAAAGGCCCATATCTATCACATCTTGTTTTAGTAAAATTATTGAAAAAGTAGTTTTTAAATATATGTTTAATTACCTAAAAATTGTGAAGTTATTACTAAGCATTAATCAGGCTTTTTACCAAAAGACTCTACTGTAAATCAATTATTGGAAATATATGAAACTATTATAAGTAATTTGGATAAAAATAATGAAATTAGATTTGTATTTTGTGATGTTAGCAAAGCGTTCGATAGAGTTTGGCATGAAGGCCTAATTTTTAAATTAGAATCATATGGTATAAGTGGTAATGTTTTGAATTGGTTTAAAAACTATTTGTCTGATAGGAAGTAAAGGGTACTAACTGAGGGTTTTCATTCAACATTTAAAGATGTTAAAGCTGGTGTCCCTCAAGGCTCAGTTCTCGGTCCATTCTCATTTTTGGTTTATATTAATGACATAACTGACTGCATCACAAGCAAGTTTAAGCTGTTTGCTGATGATACATCAATTTTTGAAGAGATTGAAAATAATTCTGGTGAAATTGCACAGAAATTAACCTATGATTTCAGCAATCTAAATATATGGGCTAACAGATGGGATATCAAGTTTAATCCTCAGAAAACAGAATCTTTACTTTTCTCAAGAAAAAGGGAACACATTAATCCTGATATACTGTTTGCAGGTGATTCAGTCAGCTCTGTCAAGATTCATAAACATTTAGGTTTAACTTTTAGTAGTGATGGTAAATGGTCTCACCATATCACTAATATATACAATAAAGCCTACAAGAGAATAAATATTTTGAGAATACTTAAACACAAAGTAGACAGGAAAAGCGTAACAACTATATACACTTCCTTTATTAGACCAATTTTAGAGTATGGGGATGTCATCTGGGATAATTGTACAAATCAGGAAAAAAACTGATTAGAATCAGTTCAGTTAGAAGCACTTAGGATAATTACTGGGTTAAGAAGGGGGACATCTCATTATAAACTCTATGCAGAAACTGGAATTAAAACTCTTAGTAATAGGCGAAGCCAACATAAACATCTTCTTATCTATAAAATTCTGAGAAATGAAACTCCAAGCTACTTACGTAATATCATTGAACTTTTTGTTTATACTAATGAGAATGTAAGATATCCTCTAAGAAATACTCGTGTATTCAATCCTCCTGTTTGTAGAACAGAAAGTTACAGAAATAGTTATTTCCCATCAACTCTAAGTGATTTTAATATGCTCCAACCTGACTTAGTAAACATTAATTCAATACAGAAATTTAAGAAAGTTATAAAGCCCAATGTAAATAATCAAACAGGTGCCATCAAAACTTTTAAATAAACAGGACCTAGAACATATAATATGTTATTATGCCAGCTTAGAAACAATGCTAGTAACTTAAACTCTGATTTATTTAATGACCATTTGCTTGATACTTCAACATGTATATGTAGTAATGAAACTGAAAATGCTCAGCACTACCTACATGAATACCCATTATACACTGACTATATAAACAGGACAATTCAAAATATAGCTGAAATAGACATACACCTAGATCATGACCACTTAAACATTGAAACTCTTTTGAATGGTTGTAAGGTATGTAATGCTGACATCAATTTAGCCTTTCTTCATATAGTATTTGAGTATTTCCATCTTACTAATAGATTTAATGTATAATTTCTCCATTTAATCTTTCTCCATTTAATCTTTATCTACGGATCACTGAAATAATACCTGATTATGTAAATCAGCAATATCAAGCGCTTTAATAGCATTTCTGACTGAAATTGATGAGCATTTTGAAAGTATTTTTTTAATGTATTCTTTAAATTCATGACTGCTACTTATACTTATGTAGCAGTAACTAATTTGTTAACTTATTATATACTATGTTAAGAGGACCAACTCCAATATAGATGAAAAAAACTGAAATACCATTTTATAAACCTCTCAAACTTAACCATGATCTTACCTATCAACATAGAAAATGCAGAATTGTTGATAATTTATTATGCATATCCTTGGGTGGATGGTCGAGGTGTTTATACACATGGACTTTATGACATGAATCCCTGGATTCTTGCACGGTAAATTATCAGTAACCTGTATTATTTCAACTTATTTATAATCCTATGAAAAATAAGCTGACATAATGAACTACTTCACGTTCCACAATAAATTGGAGTTACCTCCCTTTACCTATTATATCCTAATTTAATATATACATTATCTTACTCACTGGATGTTCTTGCAGATAAATGTAATGTATTTATGTATTAATTCAGGAAAGGACTGATATAGGCCCAGCCTGTGGTCCAATCCGTTTAACATATGGAATGTTAATAAAATTTTGTTGAAATTGAATTATATATTACCTGGTTGTTGGTGTTTTATTGTATTACCTGGTTGTCCGGATTTTGTTGGTTTCTTCACATCTCCATTAACACGATATTTACTCTCTGAAGTAACTCCATTCTCGGTCACGTGAGACTGATTCTGATCCTGAGAGTACATCATATCAAACACGGTCGACAGCACCATTAGGAGGAAAAACACACCACACACTGTACTGTAATAAAGAACAACATTATCAGGACAAAACACACTACACACTGTACTGTAATAAAGAACAACATTAACAGGACAAAACACACCACACACAGTACTGTAATAAAGAACAACATTATCAGGACAAAACACACTACACACTGTACTGTAATAAAGAACAACATTAACAGGACAAAACACACCACACACTGTACTGTAATAAAGAACAACATTATCAGGATAAAACACACTACACACTGTACTGTAATAAAGAACAACATTATCAGGACAAAACACACCACACACTGTACTGTAATAAAGAACATCACCAGGACAAAACACACCACACACTGTACTGTAATAAAGAACAACATTATCAGGACAAAACACACAACACACAGTACTGTAATAAAGAACAAAATTAACAGGACAAAACACACCACACACTATACTGTAATAAAGAACAACATCACCAGGACAAAACACACCACACACTGTACTGTAATAAAGAACAACATTATCAGGATAAAGCAGAAATTGCAAGAATGACGTGACATTGGGAACAAACCCTTGCATATCAAATCAACTGGAAATAATAACCACGATAGGTTGGCAATGCAGGGATGTTGCTATTCAGAGGTGGAACATTCATAATAGAAAATCATCACGCGTATCATACAGGTACGTGCAAAACTGTCCCTGTTGATTCGTTGTAGGAAAACATACAAGATATGCATCTGATGAAAAGACCTGACAATAGACCTGACAGTGAAATTGAAGAACTTGACGGTATTTTAATGGCCTATTTTCATATGTTATTCAGTCATGCAGCCTCGTATGATAACAAAAGCAAGGAAGGAGGGACATAGTTTGTTTCCATAGGTATGCCAAATGTCTACAGGAAGACCTTATCATCAAACTCTGCGAAAATATTGTCATCCAGAAACTCGACCAGTTTAATGATTTCGGACTCTGTATATCTCTCATGAGATACGCCTCATTATATTTGTACTGCCGTATACATATCTTCGAAAAGAAAGCTGTCAATAAAAAAGAGCGGAGGAATTCGTTCAGTTAATAAATGGGTATGGTACTGTGTGGACAACTAAAATGTACGTATAGAACAGAGATTTGTAAATTGGTCAAACGCTCTTTGGAGTTCTTTAAATACCACAACCTAATAATTCAGTATCACAATAACACTGTAACTATGATTTGAAAGGAATAGACGTAAGAACCTTTGTTAAAGGTGTGGTTGAACAAGACGAGCCATTATATGTAATCCAATATGAACGAGGGGAGTCCGTATCCCTACCATTAATGGGCAATAAATTAAATAACAAACATCATCCACCATTTGTTTTACAATCCCTTACTCTAGCTCTAAATACCTTACCGATTGAAAATCATACAGGAAAACAAATGTCCATCAAGATTTTATGTTACCAATTAAGAATTCATTAAAACACGGCGAGAATCGATACAAACACTAACGTCATACTTACAAACCCGCTATACCAACGCCGTCGTATTCTACTGGTTCCGAGCAAGTGACGGAATATGCGTAGACTTTCGACTGTCCAAGTGGTAGTAAACCTAACACTGCCAACAGAAACAAACTATTACAGGATACTCGGCAAAAGTTGAGTGTAAAAAATTGTAAAACATATCACTCAGAAATAACATTATAAAATGGATTTTGGAAATTTTTGATTTAGCAACCATGTACATAAGTACAAAAGGGTCCTGTCGGGTTATTTGTTTGTATCACGAATTAGTTGGCGACTGGACTACACGTCAAGGATCTAAGGTCGGATGGAGGTGTTAGGTACATACATAATTAAATCTTCGTCAAAACGCAAGAACCAATGGACTTTACAATGTAACGAAATTTCTAAGTTATCAGAGAACACATAAAAAAACTAAGTCCCAAACATCTATACAAATTGCTGGAAATAGCACATTTCAGAAAAAAAGATTCTATGTCAGATTAATAATAACATATACCAGAAAATATTAGAAATAGTGTTTCTACCATCACACAAACATGCGATATTTTTTAAAAATCTAAGCATAAACCAGTATATGGTAGTGTTACAATGTTAATCATATGCTTACGAGCATTGACGGTGGTCTTTGATTCCAAAGCAGTACAACTGTCAGGTATACATAAGGCCATTCTAACGTTAAATCCACCGATAAATCCCGATGACGCCGGAACCGCTGATCCCTGGTGTTACATACAAAATGAAATTCAAATAAGATATAACAAACAAGGAGAGGCCTGGTAGACAAAATGAAAGTTACATCCATATGTTCTAATTTGTCTGTCTTTACGATGTCCGGCTTATGTCTTTTAGAATGGTTATTCCTTTCAGATTGAAAAAAAAATATTGGTAATGTTATGACAATATTTCAGCTTTTGGTTGTACAACTGATTCTTATTCCAATGACTTTGGTAGACCTACTGAAGGTATAACAATGGCCTACTGAAGGTATAGCCATGGCCTACTGAAGGTATAACCATTGCGTTCTATGTGTATAACCATGGCTTTCTATAGGTTAACCATGGTCGACTGAAGGTATAACCATGGCCTACTGAAGGTATAACCATTGCGTTCTGTGTGTATAACCATGGCTTTCTATAGGTTAACCATGGTCGACTGAAGGTATAACCATGGCCGACTGAAGGTATAACCATTGCGTTCTGTGTGTATAACCACGGCTTTCTATAGGTTAACCATGGTCGACTGAAGGTATAACCATGGCGGACTGAAGGTATAACCATTGCGTTCTGTGTGTATAACCATGGCTTTCTGTAGGTTAACCATGGTCGACTGAAAGTATAACCACTATAACTACTATAGGTATAACCATGGCCTACTGAAGGTGTAACCATGACCTACAGAAGGTATAACCATGGCCTACTGTAGGTATAACCCTGGCCTACTGTAGGTATAACCATGGCCTACAGAAGGTGTAACCATGACCTACTGTAGGTATAACCCTGGCCTACTGTAGGTATAACCATGGCCTACAGAAGGTGTAACCATGACCTACTGTAGGTATAACCCTGGCCTACTGAAGGTATAACCCTGGCCTACTGTAGGTTTAACCATGGCCTACTGAAGGTGTAACCATGACCTACTGTAGGTATAACCCTGGCCTACTATAGGTTTAACCATGGCCTACAGAAGGTATTACCTTGGTCTACTGAAGGTGTAACCATGACCTACTGTAGGTATATCCCTGGCCTACTGTAGGTTTAACCATGGCCTACTGAAGGTGTAACCATGACCTACTGTAGGTATAAACCTGGCCTACTATAGGTTTAACCATGGCCTACAGAAGGTATTACTTTGGTCTACTGAAGGTATAACCATGGCCTACTGAAGGTGTAACCATGACCTACTGTAGGTATAACCCTGGCCTACTGAAGGTATCACCACGGCCTACAGAAGGTGTAACTATGACCTACTGTAGGTATAACCCTGGCCTACTGAAGGTATCACTACGGCCTACTGAAGGTATAATCGTGGCCTACTGAAGGTGTAACCATGGCCCACTGAAGGTATAACCATGGTCTACTGAAGGTATAACTGTGGCCTACTTGAGGTATAACCATGGTCTACTGAAGGTATAACCGTGGCCTACTGAAGGTGTAACCATGGCCCACTGAAGGTATAACCATGGTCTACTGAAGGTATAACCATGGCCTACTGAATGTACAACTATGGTATTTCCTATTGTAAGACTTCGGAGGACTAATGATTTGAAAGCTGAAATACGTACCAATAAATTACTTAGTGGTAAAGTCGCTGTGCAATATTTCCCGTCAAACTTTCCGGTATGCACCGCAAGACACTCGTCATAGGAACCAGTCCACGCCATGTCTCCACTTAGCAGTCCAGAAGGAATTTTACCGGCAGCGTCTATCACTGCAAACATTGTACATAACGAATGTGGCGACAATATCGTACAGAGGGTGTTATGGCTGAGTTGCGAATGACAAAAACAATTTTGTTATCCAAATTCTCCCTCCTCCAACAAACACAATTATATTTTTACATATATCACTATCATATCAAGATACAACAGACAATCGCTATGATATATGGTTTGTTAGGGAAAACTTTTTATTGCCCATGTTTACAACTTGCTACATATTTATGATCCATTGTTTCACGATTGATACTTACTTTTGAATGCCCATTGTTCCCTTTTCAGAAGTTCCGAGACAAGAAATTCTAAGTGACCGAAACACTGAGGTGAGATGTGCTGTTCCAGTTCTTCAGTAACATTCCGTAGATCATTAGAGAAGTTCCCGAGCAATCCCGCGTACTGAGAAATACCTTGTAAGTTACTGGAACCAGAGCCAAGTAACTGTAGGACTTTTTGTAAATTTTCTGGTGTCATGACTGAGATAGGAAACGACACATTGTTAGTTTTAATGAAGTTTCCAATTTGGTTGACAACAGAGTTTAAGGCGTTTGGATTTTGAAGAAACTTTTGTAAATCTGTCCAATATTTTGAGAGCTGGTTCCCCACAATACTGGAGTTGCTGACGCTGTTGACATGAACCATCCCTGGTACGGGTCCACTGGTGGTACTGGAGACATTGTTGGGATAGCCTGAAACACTTCTGGTAGGCGTAAACCCTTGGGATCCTCGGCTTGATGAATAAGCTGTTAGAGATCTATCTACTAACAATGTCATAAACACGATAAAGACTGTCCATTTGTAAAACTTCATTTTTCTGGATCTCTATGTGAACGGGTTACTAGATAGGGATGGCGTCCGTACTGATCGATGATCGTATCCCGACTGATAGTGATGAAGGCACAGATATTGACCCCCTGATATATGTCAAGATTAAGGTCTGATTACTTAATTGGATTCCTGTTTTGAAACTAAAATTGTAGATTTAATATGTAATTAAATTCATTTTTAGGACTATGCTGTTCATAAAGTAGTGTGACTTCGCAAATCTGAAGCTAGAAACGACAGTAAAAATGTGTAATGCTTTTGTCTTACTTAAATCGTCTACTGAGTCACAGATATATATATCATTCGGATAGTCCTGTGAAGTTTCGGTCGTGGTGGACAACACCGGAATGAGGCGATGAAACATTCACTTCTAGTCGTATTTGCCTGTGATGACCTATTTATATTTAAACTTGTACTTAGAGCTTTGTGTAAAGCTGTCTATGGTGGTTAAGTATGAAGAAACCGTTATCGTGTCCTTTACCTCCCAGTTCTAGTGGGTACATTAATGGACACGGTAAATATATTCAATTAAAAATATCCATCAATATATTTAAAACTTCAATTGATTTCAAGGAGTTTGTGCCGTATTTGATAATGTTTTCGATGTCTGGTATGATAAGTATGCCTATAGACAGTTGGGAGATCTACTACCAAACCCAACCAAGATATCGGCAATCATACACTTTGTCATTCGCGTGTGCATCCTCTGTATTCTTTATTTACAATTAGATGTTCCTTTTGACAAAACATGCTCCAGTAGAGTTCGTAAACATACGTATAACCATCCCTTGATAAAAGCGGCACCTAGTCATGAATGTTGTGTGGTAAGTGTTCAAAATGAGAAAAAAATCAACGTCGAAAGGAAATAGTTAACTGTTTCTACCACTCAAACTGATCTGTTGTGCGTTACGTCATTATTTGCGCGTTACGTCATCGCTTATTGACGATATTGCTTATTCAAATAATTACTTAGTATACAGGAATTATTGAAGTCAAGATAATCTCCAAAGACAGCGTTGAGATACCAGTACCCTACTGACTCTCGCATGACTACGATATAAATGTGTGATATTACTGCTAGGGATTATCGTTCATTGGAGCGCCCCGGGAGGTGATTAACTAGAATTATTTAGTCATTAGTCGAAAAATATAGATTTTATAAAGACTTCTATAATTAATAAAGTGATAGTATAAGGATATTTCCTTTTTTCAAGAATACACGACTTGAAATATAAAAGGAAAATAAATTACAAGTCTGTATTCCTTGATCCTGTATTCAAATCTACACTTTACATGAGATGTATGGTATTGGATCTGTAAACAACGTATCTAATAACTTGGTCTTTGTTTGCGGGGATTACTACGTTTCTGAATACAAAAATATTGTTCGATAACAGAGGAAACCCTACCTGTACATTACCAAATATCTCCAAGGAAGACAAACTGGCTAATGGCGCTTTAGGATAGCAATCACTCATATTGTCACTCAGTGATAAGAACCTCCTTGTTTACACAGGATTCCTTAACTTTACAAGATTCCATCTAAACATTTTATTGCTAGCTATTCTAGCTGTCGAACCACACCTTTATCAAAACTACTTGAACCGTTCTGGGTTACAGTTTTATGGTGATATTGTTTACTCAAGTAGTGGAATTAATGGTGTTTGGATTTTAAAGGACAATCTTCTAACTTACCTAAGAAGACTTATACAGCGGGTGTCGTCGATGAAGTAAAAATCGCATGCTTTTCCGGAACACCTTCTATTCTACATGTCTCTCTTTTGTTCATATTTTGCCCTACTTTGAGGTTGAATAAGTAATTATTGTAACACATATTTGCAGAGAATAGTGATTTTTTTTTTTATAAAAATTTGATAAAATTCATTTGGAATAACAGTTTTAGTAAACATTTCTCAGATAACAATAGAAAACAGTGAAAAAACCGCTTGCAGTGGCCTATTTGAAATAATCATTCCTTCTTCGGAACTCTTATTTTCTGCGATTCACAACGATTTTTTCTTGCCTTCAGATCATCCACGAGTATCCACCTTTGACAATACCTGTAGTGTACCAATTACATCCCAGTCGACAATGTTACAAACCATTCACCTTTAACAATCCCTGTATTGTACTAATTACATCCCAGTCGACAATGTTACAAACCATTCACCTTTAACAATCCCTGTAGTGAACCAATTACATCCCAGTCGACAATGTTACAAACCATTCACCTTTAACAATCCCTGTAGTGTACTAATTACATCCCAGTCGACAATGTTAAAAAACACTCACCTTTAACAATACCTGTAGTGTATTAATTACATCCCAGTCGACAATGTTACAAACCATTCACCTTTAACAATACCTGTACTTTACCAATTATATCCCAGTCGACAATGTTTCAAACCATTCACCTTTAACAATCCATGTAGTGTACTAATTACATCCCAGTCGACAATGTTAAAAACCATTCACCTTTAACAATCCCTGTAGTGTACCAATTATATCCCAGTCGACAATGTTTCAAACCATTCACCTTTAACAATCCATGTAGTGTACTAATTACATCCCAGTCGACAATGTTAAAAACCATTCACCTTTAACAATCCCTGTAGTGTACCAATTACATCCCAGTCGACAATGTTACAAAACATACCTTATGTATAACCTTCGGTTCAACATCTGTTTTTCAAAATGCCGAGTACCTCACGACTGTCGTGAAGGACTAATACTCTAGTAAGGTTTTCAATAATTTTATAATGTTATTTCACGAGGAAACCAAACAACATCGGTGTAGAAGAGTGTTTTAAAATCATCAGACACATGATACAGTACTGAAAGTATTTAAATATAAAACCGATAACAACAATACTCGGGTTGTCATGGATTTGCCTTGAACCCTTGTGACCGATTCTATGAATGTCCTTGGACTTTTGATTTCTAGTCAGAAATCCTTATGACGATCCCAGATTATTTTCAATTTTCGAAATAGTCTCATGGTATTCAGAGCTATATTCTGATCTTTCAAATAACAAAACGAAAAAATATGTTTTTTGTAATTTATTTAGATAGCAATGCTTTATGCTTCATTTACATATAATACATGTATTTGTGTATATCATTACAATCACAACAGCTCTACAAGTTTCAAAGAATTTAGAATAATTACATTTCAAATAGAAGAAATTTCATGCATTCGTCAGTCTTAAACATTACGTTTAACTTCTAAAGCAGCATATAAATCAAATGAAATTAATTCAAATATAAAGATGAAAGTAAATGATTAATAACGACACTGGGAAATTATGTTCGTATTGTGTATGAAATTCGGTTCTTCAGGAGTTTTGGATATTTTGAATATTAAACGCATTCAGAAAGATACCGTATAATCAAATAATAAAGATTTTTTCGTTCTTTTACAACTCGTCACTGATGTTAATGGTCTTATCTATTTTAAGCTTTCGAGATGACTTATGTCGTAAACCAGTTGAGGAAGTCCATAGAGGAAAAATGTTTGGTTACATTAAAGATTATAATCATCTTCTGTTGTCAGTTATCAGAGATTATAATACTATAGTATGATATGCGTGCACAATATATACTTTTATATATAACACTGTTATATTCGTCAATACGCATGCGTCACTTTTTACCACGTCGGAAAAGGATTTTCTCAAGGGACATCATTGGGGTCTCGAAGGCTAGTGTGGCGACGATTGATACCAGGATGGACAGAACCAAAGAGGCAAGGAACACGTTCACCTGAAATTAAGATGTTAGATGACATATATGCTGCTCCATGATATCTATGACGTCATCAATTGAATAACAATATATATTGTCACATGATGCTGACGTCACTGATTGAATATCTTTTTTATGAATAACCTATGTCTTTTTTTTCTATATTTTCACATGATACTGTACTATATCTATGCCCATGAAGTAATTTAATGTGAAAAAGAGAAATCATTGGAATTGTCAGATATCTAATTTTTGTTCATTTGATTTATTAAATATTTCATTAAACTTAACATACGTGTATAATAAGTAATATATAAAAAGGCCGTGATTATTATAGTAAACATCTCTTTAGGGGTATAGTTTTTTCTCTTCAAGGGTGCCATGTACTTACAAGTCCAAGAGTCGTGGCATAAAATGGTTGTCGCAATGTTTGTACGTAGTAGAAAAGGACGAGGGGGTGAGTCAGGTAGATGCAATAGCTGAGTCTACTGAGGGGGACGAACAGCTTCCAGGAGAGAAAGTCGTTTACAATACCTATGAAAATAAAACTTTGATAATTCTGGGAATTGAAATGATATGAATAATAAGATGACTCTAACACTTTTATAAAGACATACTTAGAGCGCCATGCTTGACGTCAGTTATATTCCTGTCAGTGTGAGATATACACGTGTACTCAAATATCTAACGTATGTTATATATATATATGTATCTCTATAACCTATTTCATATAATCTAATGTTGTATCGAAAGACACAGCCTTTAAATGAAAACGTCGAATTATCAGTCACAGCATATATATCGGATTCTTCAATCTTACGATATCAATGCTCACCCTTCTATGAGCTTAACGACTCTGTTATATAAGACCTTATATAATGAGTGATTGATACAAACCTTAAATAAAAGTGTCATTACGGAAATAACATATAATAGAGACATTTGAGAACGTGATATTACTAACTTGAATTGACCAAGATTTACATGGCGGATGTCGTTGATGAAGAAAATGCTTACTCTTCTGGAACACATAGTCTTAATCTCGTAGTACTTTTTCAGAAATCTCGGTGTAAATCTGTCTGTATCTAGCTATAATATTTTGGCCCAGTTTTATTTAAATTGAGTTTGGATAATTATTATGTTCACGTGTTCGTATTTTCTTCTTGTTGTTTCTAACTAATGCCATCCTCCCCAGAGAAGGTACCTCCATTGCCGGTAACACAGGCGAAGATTACCCAGCAGACACAAACTCCCCAAACAGAGCGATGGACAGCGTTATACAGAGCGGAAACACCACTGCTCCACTGGTCACCGTTCACTGGACTGTATATTCCGTACACCACAATACAGGCGGCCACTGCCATGACCAACCATATGAGCAGGTTCATCAGCTTCAACAGAAATAATAATGTAGTCAGCAGGCTTTTCGATACGGGTATATTGTAAAATGATTTATGTCATGGTCAATACTGATGAAGTTATCGATAAATGAACACTTATTTACACATTAAAACTAGGACAAACTGTTGAGTAGATAAAACTGGGGTAGAATATGGATTAAAGGAAGATTTACATGGGGCTCATGATAAAAAGGATCAGGAGCAAAAGACCAGGAGTTTCGGAAGAGTAAGTGTCTTCTGCTTTATTGACGAAACCCAACCCCCCCACCTTATAAATCTTTTTAACTCCAAATAAGTAATGTCAGATTCCCAAACCAACACGCAAATTTTTTATTTATAAACCCACCTTTCGTATTTTGAATTTGCCATCGGTTTTGTAGATGATGTACCCGGTCACTACACCTACGATGTAAGGTCCCATCCGGCACCAAGGTACTACGTAGTAATCATAAGAATAATGATCATATGATTCCCTGCAACACATTATAGGCAAGTCTTATTTTTTTCAGTGAAATAATTGCCCCTCTCCCTTCTGCCTCCAACCCAGCCTCTTCATTTTGAACTACTGTTCAGAGATCGGAAGACATAGTACTCTATTTCATGTCAGCTATGGTGAAGTGGAAAAACATTCAACATTATGTTATAATGTTTTCTACGTTTCGTACTATATTTGTCGACCAATCTTATCAAAGCTAAGCAAGCAATATTCTATTCTATATAGGGTAAAACATTTGGTCAACGGTTTCTGCATCAGCGGTTGCTGATTTATAATTTGATAAACTTGATAATTGATTGATGAATTAATAAAAGCGTTCTACTGTCGTTTTGTTTTGTGAAGAGTCATCTTAAAGATCCAATGTAGAAAGATATCCAACATGCATAACACTCCGGACTATGTAGAGTAGAAATGTCCAAGTCATTCATAAATGATGTAGGTTGATAAGAATGGAAGGAGTATAGGGACAATTACAACAATTACGGGACAATTACACATTTGTATATCGTATCAAATCACAGCCATTAATCATAGTGTAGACAATTTCTATATAAATAATACGAACATCATGACAGCAGGATCAGTTGACATCAGATTAGGTGACAGGCCATAATGGTTGGAAACTACTCCCGTAGCAATACTGATCCCCAGCAAAGCCAGAATGTTGATAAAAACGCCAATCTTCTTAGAGCTGTAATATATCATAGGATTGTATAAACCATTGTAAATCAAATGTGCTGAACACCAAAAGCCGTATAGACCATCTGAATATTAAGGCCTATATATGATAAAACAGCCATAGCAACAGGGACAGTTATTAAAGGATGAAAATAGTGTGCAGCAAAAGAGAAAAAAAGAGTTTAAGAACTTGTTCAGGGAAACCATAATTGCGCAGTTTACCATATAACTACCATATTGAACTTTTGATGAAGACGACAAAATGCAACACTTTGTCGCCTTTCTTTCCTAACTTTTCTACCAACATTGTACTCCATGGTAGTTTTTCTTGAGAAGAAATTTTTAATGTGTGTTTTTTTAATGGCGGCCATGGTGGTCATATTTGATTTAGGACCAACCCAGAAATAACAAGTAGCCGAGGCCATCTTAGGATTATTACAGGGAAGTTTCAGCTCAGTCACAGTCATATAGACTATATCTTTAAACCTTTATCACAGCATGCTAAAGGCATAATACCCTAGCCTTTTTGCTATTGAGAAGTCGTTAAAAAATATTGAACACATTTGACCCCCGTGACCTTGAAGTTGGTCAAGGTCATTCATCACATTATGCTATATGCCCAATATCATTATCCTGTACCTTTTGGTTATTGTGAAGAAATTATTTGAATGGAAAGTTTACGTATTCTTCGGGTAAGATGACTTAAAAATTGGTATTGGTCTCTGGAACCATGATTGCGCAACCATGTTACAAAATGACCGCCGTGGCTGCCATATTGACAACAGTGGAACATGAGAAAAAGTTTAAAATGTCTTTCCAAAATTGTGACCATGGTGGCCATATTGGATCTCAGATCGATCTGAAAAATCTGGTCATGGCAATTTTCAGAATCATTTAAAGCTAGTTTCAGTGGAGCTTGAGGATAAGTTTAAAATGTAAGCGACGACGGACGAAGCGCAAAAGCTACAGGTCATACTGACGATCTTATGAATAGAGCTTCATAACACCACTGTGTCTTTATTGTGTGACTCAGTGATGATACGGGTTAAAAGCATGGTATTCCAGCAAAAGTTAATAAGATATGCAGAGTGTCTTGAAAGTTTTAAATAATCAGATTATTTCTAATATATGAAACATGTCCACCCTGTACAAACTGTCGTTACCCCATGTAAAAGTGACAAACCCACATAACATCATTCCAAAACAGTGAACTAGATATGTTGGCGGAAATGCTGACGTCAGTTATAAACTTACAAATATAGCGGTACCAGGAGGATAGGGCTCACAACATAGAACTGCATGTCATTGGCCAGATACCACGACCAGCCAAAACACTGAAAACAAACGTACCCTCTGATCATTAGATAAGGTGAACATGTCAATATCGGTTCAAATATCAATTCTTGACAGCGTTGCTTTGCATGTGTATGTATGAAGTAGTAGTTTTGCTAATTTATGTTGTTGTATCATTTTGTTTAGGACATTTGTCGTACCATCCGCTCGGCATTGACGAGATTGTTGATGTACAGGATATTTGTCCACCAAGACTCCCGACAAAATTTTCCATCAATTCCACCTTTAGGAAAGAACGGTCCATCCCCAAGGTAACGATACAGCGACATGTCGAGAAACAACAACAGCATGTAGGGAGGTGTTAGCCTGGTCCATAAGTACACAAAAAGAATCAGATTATTTCATTGAAGAGAAAGACCCATTCTAATTTGACCTAATGCTTAAAAATGTTACCGGATGGGATGTTCTCGTGGGATTCTTGAGCGGTATACTTCAGGATGATAGCACTCTAAATTAGGTTTCAATCCCGAGATGTCATAGTGAGTAGTATAAATATAGAAATATACGAACATTTCCCATCACCACACGCAACGCCCTGAAATAGTCATAAATACTTATATAGATACTGAGAGGACGCTAATCAATTTTAAAACAAGATTTACAAATTGTCACAGGAATGAAGATTCATTTGGATCAAGTGGTTAAAATTCTTATTTAATATATCAGCGACGCCTATTTGTATCATGTCAAATACCTTATCTAGAAAATGCGGTAAATAGTATATATGTACCTCCAGAAGCGGTGAAAGTAGAACATGAACCAGTTTATTCGTCCCTTCTCCCTTTTCATCTCCCTCATAAACAGGTAAGACACTAACAGGCCACTGTAACAGTAAAGCGCAATTAAACTAACGTTTGATGAGGTTTCGTCTGAAACAGTGAAAGTTCTGAATAAATTCATAATTCCTCTCATTTATATATAAAACGCACACGTGAGTGGGCTCAAAATACAGGATGTAGGAGAGTTCGGTGGAGTACATTTTTGAGATAGAATACATATCTGACGATGAGACGAGATAAATACATGATACCTGAGATTAGGGAGGAATACGTACCTTAGTGTGAAAAAAGAATCCACAGATAGCAGACCATTTACAACAACCATCGATGTCCAGTTACCCATGAAATCTACAGTGAACGTCTTGTTTTCTGAATAAAAAAGAACGGTACTGGTAGATACTGTTCTAAAGATATAAAGATCTAGAAAAAGATAAAAACACAAGCAAACTTCAAATTACCACGAAAATGTTCATTATGTTTAAAAAAAAACTGGGTTTAACTAACGTAACCCTTACGCATTTCATCCATGCCGAACGAGAATGCATGTCCTAGGACCACCCAGGAAATGCTGAGGAATCGAATTCCGTTGATGGCACCAAGAGCGCCACCTGCCTGTTCTGTGCTCATCAACTTCCGGCCATTAGTGTACACAGAAAACGTCATGGCAAGTCTCGGCAGCAAGCCTTCAAATATGCACACAAGTATTTCAAATATCAGTACAATTTTAAAACATCGTCGTATATGTCTATATATATATATATATATATATATATTATAGAAAAAACTTGATTTGACGAGATGCGAGTAAATTATAAATAAAAATGATTTTTGACAAAAGAAGAAAGGCGTTACATTTTGCACTAGCGCTTTCACTGTATTAGATCTTCAGGTGCATAGTAACTGTACATAATGGTGTGGCGTCACAACATGTTATCTGTTGATGACGTCATAATATAAAAGGGGCATAATTATATTTTGCAAACTTTACAATGCTGTTAAACATTAATATTCAAGTCTGCTTTTAAAATGTCAACCATTATGTACAGTTACTATGCACCTGAAGATCTCATACAGTGAAAGCGCTAGTGCAAAATGTAACGTCTTTCTTCTTTTGTCAAAAAACATTTTAAAACCAGACTTGAATATTAATGTTTAACCGCATTGTAAAGTTTGCAAAATATAATTATGCCCCTTTTATATTATGACGTCATAAACAGATAACATGTGAGTGTGTGTGTGTGTGTGTGTGCGTGCGTGCGTGCGTGTGTGTGTGGCTATGTGAGAATGTGAGTGTGTGCATAATAATCTACCTGAAGAGACGTCCCTGGTAACTATAGATGTAGTCTCCCTGTACACCAACATCCCACATGAGGATGTCATCTTAGCTTGGCGTACAACATGGTATACTAGTGAGAATAAAGATCCTTCAACAGATAGTCAGTGTTCATATTGAACAACTTTATGTTCAACAGAGAACATTATCTACAAATCAGTGGTGTTGCCATGGGCACAAAGATGGCACCATTATATACAAATACATCTATGAGCGACCTTCAATCAAGGCTACTTGCAGCAGCTCCCTCCTCGAAACCGCTCAGTTGGTTTAGATTCATTGATGACATTGAAATCATGTGGACATACGATCGAGAATCTCAGAATTTCGTTTGTTTTGCAAACGAATCACACAGGATAATTAAATTTACTGCTGACATCTCCGGCGAGAAAAAAACATTCTCTTGGACACTTGTTCAACACTCACCAACAGAGAAATAAGAATGGATTTATACAGTAACCCACGGACACTCACCAGTACCTTCACCAATCTAGTTGTCACCCATCCCATACCACTAGGGGTATTCACAAGTGTTGCGAATCTGACGTATAGTTTCTTTAGAACATTTTCTCGGAACCACTGATACTAGCTTAACGCAGACTGAAAGAACATCAAAGACCTGGTGGTGAGCGGTAGGCTACCACCAAAACCTTCCTACACTACTGTAACGGAATGCTTTCATCCAACAGGAAGAAGTGCAAGCTTTGTGCGTATTCTCAAAGCACAAGTTCATTCAAATGTAAAGTCAACGGTCAGAACTACTACATCATCAACCGGTTATCCAGCACATCGGCCAATGTAACATACAGTCCTTGTGCCAAGTGACGTTTGTAATATGTTGAGGAGACTGAAACGCCACTTAATCAACAATCACCGATGTTCTATCAAACAGAAACGCCCGGACCTGTCTGTAGCCAGACATTTCAACATTCCAAGCCATATGTCGCAGGATGACATGGAGGTAGAACCCATCGACCACTGTTTGTGTTTGTTGTAATACCTAGTTTTTCTTGGTTGTAAAATCTATTTTATGTATTTCGGTTGTAATGCCTGGTTGTCAATGTTTTGTAGTTATACCTGGTTGTTGGTGTTTTGCTGTATTACCAGGTGATTTGTTTTTACAGTGTTACCTGTCTGTCTGGGTTACCTGGTTGTTAGTGTTTATTATATTACCTGGTTGTTGGTGTTTATTATATTACCTGGTTGTTGGTGTTTATTATATTACCTGGTTGTTGGTGTTTTATTGTACTACCTGGTTGTCCGGATTTTGTTGGTTTCTTCACATCTCCATTAACACGATATTTACTCTCTGAAGTAACTCCATTCTTGGTCACACGAGACTGATTCTGATCCTGAGAGTACATCATATCAAACACGGTTGACAGCACCATTAGGAGGAAAAACACACCACACACTGTACTGTAATAAAGAACAACATTATCAGGATAAAACACACTACACACTGTACTGTAATAAAGAACATCACCAGGACAAAACACACTACACACTGTACTGTAATAAAGAACATCACCAGGACAAAACACACCACACACTGTACTGTAATAAAGAACAACATTATCAGGACAAAACACACCACACACTGTACTGTAATAAAGAACAACATTATCATTATAAATAACCACACACAGTACTGTAATAAAGAACAACATTATCAGGATAAAACACACTACACACTGTACTGTAATAAAGAACATCACCAGGACAAAACACACCACACACTGTACTGTAATAAAGAACAACATTATCAGGACAAAACACACCACACACTGTACTAAAACACGATAAAACACACTACACACTGTACTGTAATAAAGAACAACATTATCAGGATAAAACACACTACACACTGTACTGTAATAAAGAACAACATTATCAGGATAAAACACACTACACACTGTACTGTAATAAAGAACAACATCACCAGGACAAAACACACTACACACTGTACTGTAATAAAGAACAACATTATCAGGATAAAACACACTACACACTGTACTGTAATAAAGAACAACATTATCAGGACAAAACACACTACACACTGTACTGTAATAAAGAACAACATTATCAGGATAAAACACACTACACACTGTACTGTAATAAAGAACAACATTATCAGGACAAAACGCACTACACACTGTACTGTAATAAAGAACAACATTATCAGGATAAAACACACTACACACTGTACTGTAATAAAGAACAACATTATCATTATAACATACCACACACTGTACTGTAATAAAGAACAACATTATCAGGACAAAACACACTACACACTGTACTGTAATAAAGAACAACATTATCAGGACAAAACACACCACACACTGTACTGTAATAAAGAACATCACCAGGACAAAACACACTACACACTGTATTGTAATAAAGAACATCATTATCAGGACAAAACACACCACACACTGTACTGTAATAAAGAGTATCACCAGGACAAAACACACTACACACTGTAATGTAATAAAGAACATCATTATCAGGACAAAACACACCACACACTGTACTGTAATAAAGAACAACATTATCAGGACAAAACACACTACACACTGTACTGTAATAAAGAACAACATTATCAGGATAAAACACACTACACACTGTACTGTAATAAAGAACAACATTATCATTATAACATACCACACACTGTACTGTAAAAAAGAACAACATTATCAGGACAAAACACACTACACACTGTAATGTAATAAAGAACATCATTATCAGGACAAAACACACCACACACTGTACTGTAATAAAGAACAACATCACCAGGACAAAACACACTACACACTGTAATGTAATAAAGAACATCATTATCAGGACAAAACACACCACACACTGTACTGTAATAAAGAACATCACCAGGACAAAACACACTACACACTGTAATGTAATAAAGAACATCATTATCAGGACAAAACACACCACACACTGTACTGTAATAAAGAACAACATTATCATTATAACACACCACACACTGTACTGTAATAAAGAACAACATTATCAGGACAAAACACACCACACACTGTACTGTAATAAAGAACAACATTATCATTATAACATACCACACACTGTACTGTAATAAAGAACAACATTATCATTATAACACACCACACACAGTACTGTAATAAAGAACAACATTATCAGGACAAAACACACTACACACTGTACTGTAATAAAGAACAACATTACCAGGATAAAACACACTACACACACTGTAATAAAGAACATGTAATAAAACACACTACACACTGTACTGTAATAAAGAACAACATTATCAGGATAAAACACACTGCACACTGTACTGTACTAAAGAACAACATTATCAGGGTAAACCACAATACACACTGTACTGTAATAAAGAACAACATCACCAGGACAAAACACACTACACACTGTACTGTAATAAAGAACAACATTATCAGGACAAAACACACTACACACTGTACTGTAATAAAGAACAACATTATCAGGACAAAACACACTACACACTGTACTGTAATAAAGAACAACATTATCAGGACAAAACACACTACACACTGTACTGTAATAAAGAACAACATTATCAGGACAAAACACACTACACACTGTACTGTAATAAAGAACAACATTATCAGGACAAAACACACTACACACTGTACTGTAATAAAGAACAACATTATCATTATAACATACCACACACTGTACTGTAATAAAGAACAACATTATCAGGACAAAACACACTACACACTGTAATGTAATAAAGAACATCATTATCAGGACAAAACACACCACACACTGTACTGTAATAAAGAACATCACCAGGACAAAACACACTACACACTTTATTGTAATAAAGAACATCATTATCAGGACAAAACACACCACACACTGTACTGTAATAAAGATTATCACCAGGACAAAACACATTACACACTGTAATGTAATAAAGAACATCATTATCAGGAGAAAACACACCACACACTGTACTGTAATAAAGAACAACATTATCAGGATAAAACACACCACACACTGTACTGTAATAAACAACAACATTATCATGACAAAACACACTACACACTGTACTGTAATAAAGAACAACATTATCAGGACAAAACACACTACACACTGTACTGTAATAAAGAACAGCATTATCATTATATCACACCACACACTGTACTGTAATAAAGAACAGCATTATAATTATACCACACCACACACTGTACTGTAATGAAGAACAACATTATCATTATACCACACCACACACTGTACTGTAATAAAGAACAACATCACCAGGACAAAACACACTACACACTGTACTGTAATAAAGAACAACATTATCAGGACAAAACACACTACACACTGTACTGTAATAAAGAACATCACCAGGACAAAACACACTACACACTGTACTGTAATAAAGAACAACATCACCAGGACAAAACACACTACACACTGTACTGTAATAAAGAACAACATTATCAGGACAAAACACACTACACACTGTACTGTAATCAAGAACAACATTATCAGGACAAAACACACCACACACTGTACTGTAATAAAGAACATCACCAGGACAAAACACACTACACACTGTACTGTAATGAAGAACAACATTATCATTATACCACACCACACACTGTACTGTAATAAAGAACAACATCACCAGGACAAAACACACTACACACTGTACTGTAATAAAGAACAACATTATCAGGACAAAACACACCACACACTGTACTGTAATAAAGAACAACATTATCAGGACAAAACACACTACACACTGTACTGTAATAAAGAACAACAAAGACAAAAACACACTACACACTGTAATGTAATAAAGAAAACACACTACACACTGTACTGTAATAAAGAACAACATTATCAGGACAAAACACACCACACACTGTACTGTAATAAAGAACAACATTATCAGGACAAAACACACTACACACTGTACTGTAATAAAGAACACACATTATCAGGACAAAACACACCACACACTGTACTGTAATAAAGAACACATCAGGACAAAACACACTACACACTGTACTGTAATAAAGAACATCACCAGGACAAAACACACTACACACTGTACTGTAATAAAGAACAACATTATCATTATAACATACCACACACTGTACTGTAATAAAGAACAACATTATCATTATAACACACCACACACTGTACTGTAATAAAGAACAACATTATCAGGACAAAACACACCACACACTGTACTGTAATAAAGAACAACATTATCATTATAACATACCACACACTGTACTGTAATAAAGAACAACATTATCATTATAACACACCACACACAGTACTGTAATAAAGAACAACATTATCAGGACAAAACACACTACACACTGTACTGTAATAAAGAACAACATTACCAGGATAAAACACATTACACACTGTACTGTAATAAAGAACATCACCAGGATAAAACACACTACACAC